GTTCAAAATGTCATTTTGTGATCGCAACAACCTTGTTGTAATGCGGATTTGTCGTTAAACGGAGTGCCCGTCTTGCGAGGCACCACTGTAAGTGAAATTGTGATATGACAGTGCTACATATATTTGATGCTGTCATTGATACATTGCAGTGACCTATAGTTTTAAGCAATTAACCAATAAAGTACATTTTTTATAAAGATTTTTTGCATTGAATCCAATTTGAACATACTAGAAAGTAGCCTCAGATTAGAAAAACAAGATAGGCAATCTTATATTCCTTCCTCCAAGCTCCCATATAGAGCAGAGTGTTTTCACATTTTGTTTCAACAGCAGGAAGGCACTGTGACGAGACTGCCACACCTCCCAACATGGTCACAATTTGTATTTCAGTTTTTTCAGAACAAGACATAAAATTGCGCAGCACAGCTGGCTCAAAAAGGAAATGGTTTAAATTTAAAAAATGTACCTTTCCAACCAGATTTTGGTTCCGGACCAAATTAAGCAGACTGTTACTAGTCTGGTTTTGCTCTGTGCCAAATTTGGGGAAGTTCGGACAAACAATTTTAAAGTCCTTTATATGTGTGTGTGTGTGTGCGTGCGTGTGTGGTTGGGGAAGTTCAGACAAACAATTTTAAAGTCCCTTTTAAATATATATATATGTATGTATATGTGTATATGTATATGTATATGTATATATGAATTTATTCTCCTTCCCTATTCACTCTATAAGCCATCATTGTAAGGTAGCAGGTATATAATTCCCAAAATAAATTTCAAAAACCAACCTGCTTCTTTTCAAACAACATTGTTTTCCTGCTTTTCTTTCTTTGAAGTCAACCTGTTCTGTACTTGGTGAAATATGCAGCAGGTAATAGGGCACTTTTACACAGGAAGAAAAAGTTAGAATATGCTCTTTGGAAGTTTCTGATTCATTTGTCCTTATTTGTGCCAATACACATTGATTGAACGAGGGTACCAAAAAAACCAGCTATGATAATTGCTTTGTGTTTGGATGACAAGTTAACTGGTGCAAAAATAAGTCACGTTCTGAGATTTTCTGCTACTCATTGTCTCTTTCTGAATGGTAGTGACTGAACCCAAAAGGAAAACCTGTAGACCATCTTGACTGCTGAAATTGGTGTGATCAACAACGCTTGGCATCTTTTTTTCTGATGGCAATGATACTGAAAGGCAATATCAGACCATTTCCTGATGTTTTGAATCATGGGTACACGAGGCAATATTCCACACTCATAAACTCCTATGTTTTCTGAAGGACTGAATTCCCTGGCATTTAAAAATGGATATTATACAAACCATAGCAATCAATTTTTCTCACATGAAGAATTAAATCAGTTTTATTTATAACTTCAGTTTTTTAAAAAGCAAAGCTGCTTACTCTCTAACTACTAATACAGTACATTGTTCTGTTACTAGTTTTAAGCAATCCATTTAAAATTCAGTGATCTCTTTTAAACAAATTCCATTTCCCAGAAAGCATCACTGGATTCTTAAGCTAGTCATCTTAAAAGGTCTATATTTCATAAACATGCAGTTAAATCAAGTTGATGTGTGACATCTCAGCAAAGATACTTGCATTAATCATTGAAAGAGAACTTCCAGATTTATTCAGTGATTAATTAAAGAAATAAACAATTTAGGTTGCTTCTTACATTTCCTGCGGCAAATGTGGGAGGTGTGGGGAGCAGAGCTTGGAAACTTTCATTTTTGGACAATAATCCCCAGAATCCAACATGGCTGGGAGAAAGCAACTTTCCCCAGTTCTGGCTGGTGAAAGAATATAGTTCAAATATTCTTCCTGCTCTCTCTGTCAGTGAGTTTGGAGCATGTTGTGGGAGGTGTTCCCAAAGACCTTCTGCCAGAATAGTCTCCAGCCCCTTCCACTGGCGCAGTGGTTAAACCGCTGTACTGCAGCCAAAACTGTTCTCACGACCTGGGGTTCAATCCCAGGTAGCGGCTCAAGGTTGACTCAGCCTTCTATCCTTCCGAGGTCGGTAAAATGAGTACCCAGCTCTCTGGGAAGGGCAATGTGTAGCCTGCATAATTAACTTGTAAACGGCCCAGAGAGTGCTTGAAGCGCTATGGGGCGGTATATAAGCAGCACGCTTTTTTGTTGGCCTGAAAAGAGGGAGTTCAGTAGCTAAGCCTAGGTGCTTACAAAGCCTACAGCCACTCATCTTTCATGAGGAATTCAGATAATGTCACCATCCAATCACTGCTCTTTGTTTTTGCCATGTTCTTTCCATGAGGAAATCATAAAATGAAGTCACTCCAGCTGAAAGACTTATGCCTTATCCTATAGAAAATTTCTCTATCCTTCCCTTTATTGGTCATAGCAGATACCGTATATTGCAAATACTGTCTGTACAAAAATATAAAAGATGACACCAAAGAGCACTTCTCTTATCACCCAGGTCTAATAGAACAATGGCATAAAACCGTGATACCTAGACATGAATTTCATAAATGTTTGTTACATTATTTTCACCATAGCATCACAACTACTGTACATATTATATTACTCATTATCAAAAACTGACTAGTTACAGCCCAGCATATTATCTGTAACTAATTCCTTCCAAGCTGTGATCTCTTTTTTTTAGGAGGTATGGTTCTGCTGTGTGCAGTTTCGTCTCAGAGGGCACGTGCAGTGTTCTTTTTTCCAGTTTGTATTATGCTAGAAGGATGTTTTTGCCTTTTTAGAAACACGACTATTCATAAGTTATGCTAAAATTCCTTTATCCTTGCAGTAATATTACAATATTTGCACACATACAAAAATGTTATTTTATAGAATATAATTCTGGGAGTAGTACTTAAAATCTACACAGCTCCAGAGCTTATTCCTCTGTCCACATAGCTATAATACTTTGTATTAATGGGAGCAAGCAGAAATAGCTACACTTCCAAAGTCAACAAAGCATTTCAGGGCACTTCTCTAACAGCTAGCTTACAACAATGGCATAATGACTGCGAACTGAGCAACAAGAGGAGGGCGAGAAGATCCTAATATTTTTGCATGGCAATATTGTGGGGTTTTTTTGTATGACTGAAGACAAGATGTAAACTTGTAAATATCCAGAAGTGTAGTCCTATCAGGAGAATGAAGACATGTCTTATTCAAAAAGTTTCATATGGAATGAAATTCTGTCATTTTTACATATATGAAGTGAATAAAAATATAGTATCAACATCTCTGTTTATGCCATGAATAGTGACATTGTTTAACAACTGCAAAGATTCAGTATGTTATTGACAAATTTCACTTGTCTGTCTGGAAAAGAAAGTATCAGAACTTATCCTTGAACCATGGCTGCTTCCCCATTTCCTGTACCTCCCACAGAAAAGATTTGCCATTATTTTCAAAAAGTAATTTCTAAATTTCACCCCAATAAATGCGTAGAGCACAGGGTTCATACAACAATGGAAGAAAGCTAGAGCTTCTGTTATATATTTTGCATAAGCCATTTGCATTTCATTCTTGCAATCTTTATCTGGTTGTCCCATCGTTGCTGCTGTCACAAGAAGAACCATGTTATATGGAACTTGACATAGGAGAAAAACAACCACAATTGACACAATCACACGAATGGCTTTGCTTCTTTTGGAATTCTGAGCCTGCACTAGGGTTTTGATTATGAAGGCATAGCAAAAAAGCATGAAAAATACAGGAATGAAAAATCCAAAGAAAAGCTGAAGAATTAGGATTAATAATTTCAGCACAATGCTGGACTCTCTACTAAATTTGTGTTCACAAATGTTTGTCTCATTGGCAGAAAATGTGTAGCTTTCACTGAACACAAAAGTAGAAGTGGAAATTAAAATGGATGATACCCATACCGCCACACAGATCACTTTACTGTGTGCTAGAGTTTTGGATCGAAGCTTGAATGATTTTGTTGCTTGTACAATGGCCAGGTATCGGTCCATGCTTATGCAGGCTAAGAGCAACATGCCACAGTTGAAGTTAATTGCATAGATACCCTTGATGAGCTTGCAGACGAATTCACCAAAAATCCACTCATCCAGAGCATGGTTTACTGCCCAGAAAGGAAGAGTGAGAACAAACAATATGTCTACAATTGCCATGTTACAGAGACATATGTCCGTCATAGATTCTGACTTCTTATACAGAGCAAATGTTAACACTACAAATGTATTACCCACAAGTCCCACAACACATATCAGTGAGTAAGCAACAGGCAGAAAAGCTTTTGTAAAGTTTCGTACTTCATTCTTGTTGCATGGTGATACAATCTGAGCATAAAAATCTGTGCCATAGAAATAATCCGTACTGGTTTCCTGTTGTAAAGGAGAGCAGAATTGGTTTAAAGGTCACATTTCATCACATTATTTAGGCAAAAGAAGAGAGGCAGCCACCTCAGACAGCAGACTTTGGATGTCATGGAAGGGCAGTAAATTAATAGTTACTTACTTTATTATTATATTTTTAACACCAGAAGCAGGTGGGTGTTCTAGGTTGATTTTCTGTTTCGAAAAGGTCACATCATCACATTATTTAGGCAAAAGAAGAGAGGCAGCCACCTCAGACAGCAGACTTTGGGTGTCATGGAAGGGCAGTAAATTAACAGTTACTTACTTTATTATTATTATATTTTTAACACCAGAGGCAGGTGGGTGTTCTAGGTTGATTTTCTGTTTCGAATCCCAAAATAACTGGCTGGTCTGTAATACTGTGCATCTTGACATGGGTAATGAGTATCATTTGCTGTTCTGCCTCAGGCAACGTTTTAGAAATTTGTCACCTGTATTAGTACCGCAAGTGCCAGCTCCTGTATCCCATTTCATTCAGTCTCACCACCACAACCACATATAGTGGGTGGATAATGCTTTGGCCTTAATATTCTTCATGGGTCTGAGAAAACCATGAGGAATCAAGCTAAAATGGATCTGATAAGACTAGGAAGATATTTTGACTGTGTCATTCATGTTTTTAAAAGAAGCCAACAGTGTCTGAGCCTGCTTAATTAATGCCTGTTGCTTATTCAAAGGGCAGAGCTAAAAGACAGCAACAGCACAAGAGGAAAATGTTAGAATGCCAAGGTTGGTTCCTTATTCTTACAATTTTCAGTTCTTTATTTGAGTGAGACACAACTTTAGCCCAGACAGAAGTTTATGCTGCCACATAATGGATGCTTTTCTTGATCTTATGGTGTAGGAATTAGGTTGGAACTCAGCTTACGCATCAGTCAATAGTTCTTAACTTTAAAGTATGTCTTAACACTTTAGTCTTAACCTTAGTCCCATTGGCAAGGTATGCTGCATTTGATATTGTCCTGTGTATATGAAACATTTTGATCCAGATGCTAGTCAATGCCTTTGTGTTTTGCATGAGTGGGTGTATAATGTGAGATAGCTCAAAGCTTATTCTAAGGTGCAGAGACCATCCATAGGCATGGGTATATCAGGTAGTTATTCAGTTGAACACTTCAGCTATGTTTCAGAGGTTCTCCAAATAAGGAACTGGGTGCTACAAATCATCCTCAGCATCTGGAGCATTTCAGCTTTCATCAATTTTTAGTAAAATGAACAATCCTTCCTTCCCACCATCCTTTGCTCTGTTCAGTTTTTATAAAAGCTGCATTCCAAGAAGAAAGGTTTCCCACCATCTTACATTTTGGCTACATATTGCAGTATTCCACTCGCATTTGGACTTAACGTCCTCGAAGTGGATCAACTGTCAGAACAACATACTTCGAATGAATGCAATTAACATTGGAACTGACTGAGAGTGAGTTGATTTGCACTAGAAGTTAAGCTACTGAGAAAGACAGTAGAATTTGTGTTTATACTGGCTCTTTTGACATTTTGTTTACAAATACTTATGTTTTCCTCATCCTAACTTTTTTACTAATAAATAAAGGCATGAGCAAGTGTCCTAAAATGCTTTCACTTCTCAAGGGGAAAAACTGGCTAATACTCAAGACATCTTATATTTCAGAAGCCTGTGCTGCAAGGTCAGAAGCCCAGCAGTCGTAAGCTCAAATCCATGCGACAGAGTGAGCTTCCGTTGCTTTGTCCCAGCTCCTCGCCAACCTAGCAGTTTGAAAGCATTTAAATGCAAGTATATAAATAGGTACCACCTTGGTGGGAAGGTAAAACGGTGCTCCCTAGTCACGCTGGCTACATGACAACAGAAACTGTCTTCGGACAAGCGCTGGCTCTACGGCTTGAAAAACGGGATGAGCACTGCCCCCTAGAGTCGGACACGACTGGACTAAAATATGTCAAGTGGAACCTTTACCTTTACCTTTAATTTACTCCACTGGGCTTGTTGTGGACAAAAAATCCTGAATAGTTAAAAATAAATACCTATCTAATCCATTCATAAGGATATTGTTGCCTTTTTAATTATAAGTTGCTGACTAGCAAATTTCTTTTTGATCATCAGAGTGAAAATTAATAAATACCCTGAAAGGCATGAATATTTAATTTCTAAATTGCCAACACTCTCTGGTCAAGAAGGAATGCTTGCCTGGGAAGTGGGGAAAGGGACAAATCCTTGTTGGGAGCCAGTGGGAGAAACAATAGTAAGAGCAAATCAATTCACTTTTTCTTACTCCTCTACAATTTATTTTCATTTTTTTAATGCCATAGTGGTGCAGAAAAACAGATCTTAAAAAGAACTTTGTGGGGCCCATCCCACTAGCTTCCCTCCTGAGATGTTTCAATGTTTCATATAAAGTCAATCTCTCACAAGGCACCCACAACAGAGGTTTGCCTTCCGTGAACAAGGCCAGTCTGTTGGAGTGTAAAAAAACAAAACAAAACAAAACAAAAGATTTTAACCATTCAGCAAAATCAGCCGACAAAGGTTTCTAAGTGAATGCAAACATGGGTGTTGTTGTTTTTAACAAGCGGATCCACTGCCCAAGTTGTAATAAAACTGTTCCAAGTTTAATATAATGAGCATTACTACCTGCCGGAGTTCGTAGCTTTGCCATCTCAGAGAAAGGAAAAAAAATCAATTGTGATATTTGAGATGGTGCAGTTTATTCTGCCCCTTCTGTCATAGAATAATATGGTGTTGTTTCCTCATCTACCTTCAGTAAAAAGAGAATTATGTTTAGGAATCAGGAACTTACCTCGCTCATGATGGTGTTCCCTCTTTTTTTGACCACAGGAAACTGTGGCAGTGGAAGTGACAATTTTAGGTATTAGCAGGCAGTCTCTATTTAAAATAAGAAGATAAAAGTGGATAATGCATAGAAGAAAAGGGTAAATGAACCTCTAAATGGGCATATCTGGAAATTAGCTAGCTAAGAAATATAATTAGCTGGGATCCCCTTAAACTTCACAACATAATGTTGTTGACTATAACACTGCCTTTGATTACATAAAGCATACTTGATTCTCATCTAATTATTTTTGACTATCAGTTCTTCTAAAAAAATACTGCATCTCCCTTTATGAGTCTTCCTAGGCATTAAGATAATCAGAGGTCTTTTCTCTTAGTCCCACCACTTTCACAGGTCCATCTGATAGGGACATAGGAGAGGATCTTCTCTGCTGCTGCTCCCAGATCTTGCAACTCCCTCCTGAAGGAGGCCAGGCTGGCCCCATCTTTGCTGTCCAAGAAGATAGGTGGTTTGAGAGAGAGAGGTAAGGAAGACTGTACATGTGCATATAGAAAATCCTTTACTCAAAAGGGGGTGTGTGGACACCTTAGATAAAATCTATTTATCATGCTGCCCTTTCATCTGTCCCCAGAAATAACAGGACCAGAAAGACCACTGTTAATGACTGTTAATGACCCATGACAATGGGTGGAGAAGGACTGCAGAAGTGGGATTTTCACCCCCCCCCAGTCCTTTGTCCTTCTAAGGCGCCTATTCAGACCAGCAGGGAATGAAACCAATGTGGAGGATATATCAAGGATCTCCATCAACCCTCCTCAGACTGAAGAAGCTACTTGGATGAATTGCGAAACGTTTCAACCTAATAAGTATGAAGTCCAGTTGCCATGACTCAACTTCCAGATAGCCCCACCTGGATGACTGAGAATCTTCACAGACATCTTTGTTGTCCTTCTACAAGCAGGCAAAGACCTTTCTCTTCAAGCAGTCTTATCCTTAATGGCTGATGGTCTGAGAGGTTTTTAATGGATTGTTGTGCTGTTGTTTTAAATGTGTTTTAAGTATTGATTTTATTTACAGTTTTTAACATATTTGTTTAATTCTTTTTACTGTTTCTATACTTACTGCTTTTAGTTTTTAAATATTGGTTTTTTTAATGATGTAAGCTGCCATGGGTTCTTTTTAAGGAGACACACAAAATAAAAATAAAACAAATAAATAACTCTAAACCTAACAATACACGCACTAGAATGGACTTGTATTAATGTGATTTAATTATGGATGGCTTAGCACAGATATTTTTGTTGTAGTATGAGTAATTGAAACGTGTGATCCAGTGCAGGAAGGTAAGTCTACATGCAACCTTTGTATATACCGCTGATGCATATTAACATCTAATCTGTCAAATTCTAACAGGTCCTTTGTATCTACCAAAGCACTTGTAATGTTCCCCAAATTTCTTTAGCTAGATTAGATTTCTGGGACGGTGTTATTACTCCATTGATCTCTTCCCAACATATGTCCTTCAGATCTGAACTACAACTTCCACATTCCCTAGCCAGCTTGGCTGTTAGTTAGGGATGAAGAAATCTTAGTGCATTTTTACCTGAACATCAGCACACACTCTTGGAGATTGAGCTGCCAGCCAGAAGAGAATCGTGTAAGCGTGAATAATAGAGTTGGAACGGGCCTATAAGATCATGGAGTCCAACCTCCTGCTCAATGCAGGAATCCAAATCAAAGTATATCTATGAGACAGTTGTCTTTCTCTTGAATACCTCCATCATTGGAGCATTCACCACCTCCCAAGGTAATTGGTTCCATTGTTGTACTGCTTTAGCTTGAGCCAATTGTTACGTGTCCTGCACTCCAGGATGATCGAGAACAGATCTTGCTCCTTCTCTGTATGACTACCTTTCAAGTATTTGAAAAGTGCTATCATATCTTCCCCCAGTCTTCTTTTCTCAGTGCTAAACATGCCCAGTTCTTTTGGTCTTAGGCCTTGGTTTCCAGTCCCCTGATCATATCCTTGTTGCCCTCCTTTGAACTTGCTCGTTTGTTCGCATACTTCTTAAAGTGTGGTATCCAGAACTCTAGCTAAAGCCTAATGAGTGCTGAATAGAAGGGAACTAGTACCTCCCTGGATTTGGCAAGTATACTTCTGTCAATGCATCCTAAAATAGCATTTGCCTTTTTTGCTGCCACATCGTACTGTTGGCTCAATATTCAGCTCATTAAATGGAGGGGGGAATTAAGGGAATGCAATGATAATTTTAGAGCATTTTGGCCTGCTACTGTGTTAATGAGTATATTGATTAATTTGTTTGCTTTAGTTGCAATAATTTTATGAAAGAGGATTGGAACTCAACAATTGCACAATAAGAAGGGTTTAGTGAGACATGAATCAGAACTTGTAGAAAGAAAAGTAAATGTAAACAAGAGGTGGATATTGCTAATTAGCACCTTGTCAAAGGCAGCTTCTGCTGTACAAACACAACTATTTTTCTGTGCCCCTGCTGATTCCTGCAAATTGTCTGATGTCTGGACAGCTACATTAGTGTCATCCATGGGAAACCCAGTTTTTAAAATGCAGATCATGGCGTGTCCAAGCAAATTTTCCCTGTTGAGTAGTCGCACCCTAAGAATGAAGACTGCTGAACCATAGCAGACTTGTAGGTTTGGAATACACATATTTCATAGTTGTACCTTTCATACATGGAGTAGACAAAATCATTTTTCCCATTTGATTGTCTCCCACTCTGTTCAAAAGCTTCTTCCTTAGAGGCAGATTGTTTTCCTATTAAATCTCTAGCTAAATTGTAACGGATGGGCTGGGATTTTGACTCCCAGTTCTCTAATGCTAGTAAACACCCAAAAACTTTTCTCCTCTACATTAGGGTGCTGAAAAGGATTACCTAAAGAAAACCAAGACTTGTGAAAGGACCCGTCAGCTTGGCATCAGCATCGATCATGCATTCCTAGGCTGAACATGTATTCATGGATATCCTGTTCCTTAAAAGTTTCCCTTTGCTAGAACATCAGTAGATCCTGGTAACCTGAAATGTGTGTTTACATCTACAGCTTGTGTTGGTCCAGTAGTGTGCAGAACAAACCATGCTAGACATGGGATTGTTAAACACAATAATTTTGTCATCAGATTTATAATAGTTGTGTCCATCAAGCAAAGTGGTGTCAGGTTTAGGAGACAGAAAATCAGAAACATTGCAATATATTTAGTAACAAGAAAATTCGGGAAGAATTCCAATTTCAACCACAGCTAAGATATGTCAGACTTACCTGCTCAGTTTGGTACCTTTTATCCTAAGTATTAAAGGCTGGATCCAGAGGTGTTCTTCCAATGTTGCAGATAATTGTATGGGGTATTTTCTAAAGCATAATGTCTCTGAAGGTGTAATTCATGCAAAGAAAAAGCACACACTGGGCCAGTATTTGTTCCTCTATCTCAGTTGGGAAAGGAACACTTACCTTGCTAATGCGGTCACTGTGGCTTTTTCAAATCTTACCACGTGTCAGCTCTTCACAACCACAAACCAAAGCAAATCATCAGCAAAATGAGGAAAAAACCATGTGGGCCCAATTCACATGTGCTACATGAGGTTTCAGGTGCAACCAAGCTCTTCCTGTCCTCTTTAAATGTGCACCACCAACATGCAAGTCTTTTTTACATTTTGCACGCTTACAGGTGTATGTATGCAGAAATTATGCAGATTATCTTGGGCAAAAGATGCACACCTGATAAACATTCTGGTGTTTTGTATTTATGCCATTTATTACTTATGATACATACTAGATGTGCAGAGAAATGGGGACTCAGGTTAGGGGGGTTGTTGTTGGTTTTTTGCTGTAGAGGGTTGCTTCTGTCTAATCTCACTTGTAAAATAAGGCTTTTCTAACAGATTTTGGGTGTTCTATAAGCAATCATTTGCACAGCCCTTATAAGAAATAAAACTTTTTACTTGAATGCAAAATACGGAATACACAGAGATGTTTGGAGAAAGAATCTGCAATGTTTAAAGCTGAGGGTGGGTAGGATTTACGCCTACAGGATCCTGTTTACTGTTTAATAGAATCCTGAGTTCCACCACACTGAACCTGCTGCAAAATAAAAAAAAAAATTTAGAATTACGACATTCTAAATATTCTGTGTCCAGAAATTTGTTCTGAGCACCAGAAAAGAATGGAGGTTAGAGCTCTTGCAAACAATTCCCTGCTGCTTAAATTTCCCCTCTTCTTCATTTCTGAAGGGGGTGGAGGTGGGGTGAGGAAGAGATTCCTTTTATTACTGCTTATTTGGGTTGCCAGTTTCAGTAGGATTCCATTCAGTTAGATTTCAGACCCCAAACCTGATATCAGAGGCAGATTCCTGCATTGTCACAGAGGGAACATACAAGAGCTGGTCTGTGCGTGGTGACTAGAATTCTTTATATGGCCAGCTAACTGTGGAAGGATATGTGGATAAAGGGGCCAGAGTCTGGGTAAAATCCTGCTATATGGGTAACAAGTGGTTACCCACTATTGAGATGTAGGTGGGGGACTGGCAACTGGTGAGGTGGCAAAATATGCACAGCTGTTCCTTTGCTTTTTTGTGCACTAGTGTTGCAACATACATAAAAACAGCCTTGTACTCAGCCAGTATGATTTAGCAACAACTAAGAATGAATGGAGTTGGATACCCAAGCTTTGAAGACACCTTATATACAAAATCCATTTTCCCTTCCTGCAGCACAGCTCTCTCTTGCCTGGAGAATTGAGGAACCCGAACACTTTCCTAAATCTCCAGCCGCTGCGTGGAGACCTGGCACTCCTACTGTCTCCTGTTAAACCATCAAGAGCAAGAAATACTTTATAATGTACTTAACACCCAGTGATCTATCAGAAGACCTAGATCTGTTACCCCACTCTTGCTTTCAAACACCCAGGACACTCATAGTTCTGCTATTTTTAAAGCTGAAGAACCCTCTGTCTGTCACCTTCAAATAGTTCCGCCTTGTGTGACTGTAAAGGTATTTTAGATTGTGATTGTAGACTGCAATCAGCAAGCCCAAATTGTTAGATGTGAGATGTTTCATGTGCATGCTGAACATGAGCTGAATCATGATATATCCCCATTTTAGTGGTTTCTTTAAAAACAAGTTCCACTCAGCTTAAGCAGGCTGAGGTTCATGTAAACATGCCCCCTTAGGCTATAATCATGTATCCACTTACTTGAAACATACAGCTGAAGTGGGACACATGAGTGAGATGTGCGAGTGATTGTCATACTAGCCGCATGCTTCCCTTTCGTCACTCTCCCCCTCCCAGTGTTTACTCTAAAAGCACAGAAGCAGCAGGTATCTGCGCTCTGGGAAATGTCATGGTGACCATATGATTCACATTTGAAACAAGGTGCACAGAATTGTTTTATAGCACAAGTGGGTCTTCTTTGTTAGATTGCAGCAGAGTTCTGCAGTCTTTGGCAGATTCTAGGAACAATAAAATTGCACCCCCTAGGCCATTGATGCTGCCCAGCCCTGCTCTAGATTTTTAGTTTCACAGAAATCCTATCAACTACTACTTCTCTAAAGATCTTTTTTTGGGTCTCTAAACAGAGCCAGCCACTTCAGATAGCATGCAGTGGTGGCACTCTCTCAGCCTCATATTTTGCCAGCTTCATTAGGTATCTCCCACAACATTATTTACACATAAACATCATATGGACAAATGATATTTTCTCCACAGTATATAATTATTGTATCTCTCCATGTTATGTATCTTATACTATCCAAATAATCTAATTTTTAAATTTATTAATTTGCTGTTTTTTCTACAAATGTGAGACTATTTCCAATATACATTGCTTCCAGACCAAATCAGGGATATTTGTACCTTTGTGTGTGTGTTCGTGTGTGCCAATGACAGTACAGAGCAAGACACCTTCAATTGCCCCTGATGTATGCCAGCTACTCAACACATCATACAAGTTCACTCTGGTTGTATTCAGGTTAGAACAGGAGACAAAAAGCTGAACCACCAGGATTACCCCAGAACTCTCCTGGACAGTCCCAAATGTTGAGATCCTGGGGAGTACTTAAAGTGCGATCACTAGAGCATATACTGTATATCCCTCTGCAGTTGCTTGGACAGCCATCTTGCATTTAAGGAGAAGGATGCTGTGCCAATTTTAGCCTAGCTGTTGTGTTATGGAACACTCCTGCACCATATTAACAAAACTGTGTGTAAGAAAGAATGCAGATGGATTAATGTTCTTTCTTATGTGGGCTTTGAATGGATAGTTCACAGTATCATTAGGGACTATTTTTCCACTGTCTCCATTTGTTTTTTCCTTCTCCTTATCTAATTGTTGGTGCAAAGAAATGTCAGTACCCGCTGCTCTTGTAGTTTGTTGGCAAAATAACTGAATATTTTTCACTTCAAAGCAGGCTTTCTCTTCACGTTAGTCCTTTGGTATTCTGCCAACAGCACCAACAAAACCCTTTTGATGTCTTCCTGGGGCATATTCTTGGAAGCTAGGTTACTGACTGGGAGAATCATTCATACAGCAAGTCAATCTTTGGATCCCCTGCCATGCATTTAGTGGTCTTGCAGATTGCTCCCTTCTCCATCTATGGTGGAGATGACTCTCCACTAACTTGAGAAAGTGCTTGATTGTCTGAAACATAAGCACACTGAACTCTCTATTAAGGTCCATCGCATCCCCCAAAGTGATGGCACTGCATAGCTTCCTGCATCCCAAGTCATAGCATCGTTTGCTGCATGTGAAGGTTTGTTTTTAACACAAACCCAGAACTATCCAAGTACCCACACAAACCCAAGAACAAACTGGTTCAGCAGCTCAGAGCAGGTTTGTCCAAATCTGTATGACAAATGTTTGGACATAGATTGAATTGGGAGCTATTCACACACTCTAAGATTATCAGCACATCCTGTTTTGGTATTCGATCAGTTTCCTCCTGGATATTTGCATTAAAGCTTCACATTTCTTCTTCAGCATTTGCACAGATATGAAGAGCCCAGAGTTAGTCAAGCACTGCAGACAGCATAGTAGCAAATTTGGAATTGCAGGTTCATATTATGACAGTCCCCATAATCAGAACCCTGCTCCAGTATTGTCCAAAATGTGGGCAACTAAATCAGACTGTACCAACACATGAGAAGTTCATATTTAAAGCTAATGATTTTTAGTTGCCCATTTAAAACTGAACTGCCTTCAAATACTTCACATTTCAACAGGGATAGTGTCCAATATTACTGAGAAAATTCAGTTGTGTTCCAGCTACTGTGAGGACTGCATCTTACTTTAGGGAAATCTGAAAATGTGTGACATAATGCAGCCCCCATTTATCACAAAGCCCTGCAGTTTTTATGCTGCAAGCCTTTGCTGCACTACACCAGACTTTGGACAATACCCTCTTTTTTCCAGGAGTCAGAAGCATTTAGCACAGTTCATCCCATTCTCAAGCCACTTCTTCCCATGGGAGGCAGAATGAAATCCATGGGTACAAGAACCTGCCACACCCATACAAGCAATCAGTAAAGGAAGACTGTTATAGCACTGTTAATGAAAAGAAAGAGCTGTTACTTTAGAGGAAACACCTGCTTTGCATTCCTTTCCAGAGATCTTTGCTTGTTTGGTTCATGTGGCTGCAAAATCTTATCAATCATCAGATTTTGGCACTCTCTCATTACAGATTGTATACGTACGTGATAAGAAAATAGGTCACCTAGTGTGCGAGAAGTGGAGAACTGCAGAAAGAGCAATTTCTTCCACTACAAAGATGTAAAAAGACAAAACAGTACCTAAATTTCCCCAGGCTGAATGATGCTCAATTGAAGGAAGAGGAATTTTCCACATCTAGTCTAGGAGAACAAAACTATAGCTTTTAGCTAAAGTTTGTTATGAACCAACCCTCAGTTCTTTTGTAAAGAAGGGAAAAATGAAATAGGTGGAGTAGAAGCCCTAATTTCTTTTAAGAAGGTGGAGGAGCCAGCTAATACGAGAAACATGGAGATGACACAGGGTTGTAGATTTATACTTCTATTTTCTACTTATTCATAGTATAATTAATAAAAAAGAGATGTGCAACAATTCCTCAACATAATAATAAACATAGTGAACATGTATGTTTACAGAGGGCAAGAGGCACAAGGTGCCTAATTCATTTATCTAGCAAGAGAAAATGTTGTTGGGCATCTTTTAAAGTCAGGTAGCTTAAAGCATACCAAAAGGAAGGGGAAAAAAGGAAAACAAGAAATGAAAATGAAAACCACATTTTTTAACATTGAGCTTTGCAGCTTCTTTTGTTCTAACTGAAGCCAATTCTGTGCTCACTGAAAGTTCTGTCTGTTGCAAATGCTTTCTACACTGTTTCCTGTCTGAGATTTAGTTAGTGGTCATGTTTCTCTGAACTTACTAACATTTGCTTAAAGTTCTATTTATTATAATGTAGGGGGGAAATATGGTAA